TAATGTCAAAGAAGACAATACATTAAATCAATCACAATCCTTTATCTCAGTTGATACAATCAGGGACACAATAGGATCAAGCACAGCATACAAACTGACCACTTGTGGTAGTCATTAATCTATCACCTTTAAACCATGTGAATTAAATTAAAATCAAGAAGCATCTCAGAATATGTTCACAGTGAATAAACTTCAATATAGCATCTTTACCATTTAGGATGGGGACTTACACAGAGTTAGTATGAGAGGAGTAGATAAGTAAAAGAATTGGAGAAGGTTTCAAATGAAGTCAGAGGACATAGGGCGACCATACAATCCTTAGAAAACTGTTAAAAGGGAAAGACAGAGTGCAAGAATATAACAACTTAACAGTAATAGGGGCTCACTTTACTTTAAATTATTGACCCTTGAGTGAAGGAAAATGAGAGAAGAAAAGAACATAAAGAAAAGAGAAACAATGATAAAAGATTAAAAAATGGGCATCTGAAATGAACAGACATTTCTCAGACAAAGAAGTAAAAACAGCCAATAAACATATGAAAAAATGTTCCACATCACTGGTCATTCAAGAGATGCAGATGAAACCAACACTGAGATTCCACTTCACCCCACAAATAATGGTGGCTATCAAGAAATCAAAAAATAACAAATGTTGGCAGGGTTGTGGGCAGAAAGGAGCCCTTCTCCATTGTTGGTGGGAGTGTAGTCTGGTACAATCACTATGGAAATCAATATGGAGGTACCTCATACAGTAGGACTAGAGGTTTCATTTGACCCAGCCATCCCTCCCCAGGGTATCTTTCTAAAAGAATTAAAAGAATCATATCACAGTGATATATGCACTGCTATATTTATAGCAGCACAGTTTGTAATAGCTAAAACTTGGAAACAACCCATTTGCCTATCAGCTGGAACCTGGATAAAGAAGATGTGGTTTTTCTATAAAATGGAATAATACTCAGCCATAAAGAATGAGAAATTAGATTTGTTAATAGGAAAATGGATGCATATTGAGTATATACACCTAAGTGAAATAAATAAGTCACACATGTGTAAATACTGAATAGTTTCTATGGTGTGAAAAGCTATAATAGTACATAAGATCCTAATGTGATAATTGACAATGTGAGATAGGAAGAAAAGGGCTAAATGTGTAAGGAAAGTTTCAAAGGTAGGGGAAAGGTAACAAGGGAAAAGAAAAAATATGAGAAAATGAAAAATATGATATGGAAATAAAATGTTTGTAGATGGGGAGGGGAGAAGGGGGTGAAGGGAGGGCAGTGATAAGGAAACAAAATGAGAATCAAGACCTGTCATATAAAGGTACAAGATCACAATAATGAATGTAACTGTACTATTTACCTAAAATGCACCAATAAACTCAATTAAAAAAAATAATAAGAAACCCGAGTTAGGGCAGGAACAGGAACAGTAAGGGAGATGAGGAATAATATGGGAGAGTAAGAGACTGAGTTTGAAAAAGAGGACAGAAAATAGAAAGAATTTGCAGAGTGGAATGAGGAAAAGAAAGAAGAAAAAGAATTTCAAGGGCCTCTTTCCGACTATATCTCTGCTGTCATAATATATAATGTGTGCAGACATGTGCAGAACTAAGTCCTTTGATCTCCGATAGCTGGTGGCAAACCCCTGAGATTCAGGCTGATTTGGGGCTGCAAGGCCCAAATTGAGTTCCCTGACCTCCTGCAGGGTTGAACTCCACCAAGTTCTACTACAGGTTTCCTCTGCCCTTTCTTTGAAGATATTCAAAGTCTGGAGCTCAGAAAAATGCTCTCTATGACCACCTGTGCTTCTGCTGAGTTGATCCAAGGACTGGCCCAATCAGGAGGCCTGAAAACCATGTTGGGCTATGGGGGTTGCAGGGGCACCTGCGTGACAAGCTAGTCCTCAGTGATTGGCCCAGGCAGGCCTGAGTGTGAAGGGGCTCCGAGTGGCTGTCCAGGACCTCTGTCTTTCACCTTCCACTGGATGTTGTTGGGGTGCATGTGGGGTGAGGGTGTGGCTACCTAGTCCTCAGCAGTTGTCCCCAGGCAGGCCAGAGCTTGAAGGGTCTCTGAGTTTCTGTCCCAGACCTCCACCTTCCACCTTCAGCTGGATCTACAAAACTTTCTTGAAATGGCAAAATTACGAAAATGGAAAACACAGTTTCATAGTATTTAACAGAGGTTAAGGAGTGTAATGTATGGTAACTTGAACGATTTTTGTCATTCTGGAAATATTCTGGCTTTGGAGTAGTAATATGGTTTTTGAAGATATTATTATGGGAGGAATTGAGTAAACGATACTCAAGTTCTTTATCAGTAATACGTGTGAGTTTTTAGTTATGTTAAAACATTTCCAGTATCTTTTCCCCCACATTAATATGTAGTATAATTCATTTGAATGCCAAAAGTGTAAATCACATTAGACCAATTTATATGTCCCACTAGAGAGACATAGATAAACTGTTATATCCACACAAAGATATATAATATTAAAAATAAATGTTATGTGTATAAAATGAATTAATGCTGAAAATAAACTAATACCAAACTGTAGAAAACTCCTTACATGTAGTAATATTATTAAATTTAAAAAAAAAATCTTTTATTCATTCTGGAAACATATACATGAAAGTACAATAGTGCCTGGTTGAAGATGATTTCATGAACTATTTTTTATTTTACCATGATTCAAAAGTGATATAAATTCAATAAAACTAAGCATTATTATTTAGATTTTGAAGATTATGTTTTTCTGGGCTAGCGGTGTGTGGTATATAACACCTCTCATGATGTTGGGCAGTAGCAGTGGTCCCCAGCCAGAGACAACCACATAATCAACAAGGTAAAGAACACTATTTTGCTAAGTGATAATACTCAATGGACTGGGTATGATATATGTATTTTTTACTGACTGTATCTTCAGCTTGAGCTTAGTTTACTGAGACATAATATCATAACTCAAGAAAAAATCTCTAAATTTTTACAACATTAAATACAAAAATACATAAAATATATATCATATTTTATACACATAATTTTCATATTTCACACATAATGCAACAATCCATATGAAACAAGGAATAGATGCATATTTTAAAAATTTTCCAGACTGGTCATTTTATAATGACAAGATGACAATTTTACCAAAACTTCAAATATTTCTGTAACATTTTGTTTTAGCCAATGATTTTCAATACTTAGCATTACCTTCCATTCCAGATTTAGATTTCCAAAATATTGGAAATACTTTTGAAAGTTTTGTTTTCATAACTAGAAATGCCAGTGTAATTTGATGCCATGGAGCTAGGCTTTCTAAATTTGTGCGCTGGAGGACACTCAGTGCATGATGAGTAATTGTCCTATTTTAAATGCCAACAGTTAACTACTGATAAACTTAATCGCAATTGTTTTTAAAGGCCAAACAGATAACAAAAATTTACACAACACCTAGAATAATAGCAATTCACTTATTGATGTGAATAAATTTAGATCAAGGCCATTCATATTATTTTTTAAATACCCATGATACTAAAATATGATTTTCTTTTGTAACCTCATTTGCAGCCACAGATGAAATTGAGGTAACTTGATAACATGAGATGTGATGGTGGCATTATTATAATTTATGTAAAATTAACTTGAGAATCAATTCAGCTTCAATGTAGATGATTGTATAGAAAAAAATAAAAATTAAATACAACCTTAGTTTGCAAGAATAAATCATATAATTTGTAATCCAAAGCATGTGTATATCAAAGAAGCTAGAGAGAAACAGCTTCTTATGTGATATTGGGCCTGTTGTACTACTTGTATTTGCAAGAAATTTCTCATTTGTCAAATTAAAAAAAAAATTGCAAATTTTTGCTTATTGTGCAGAGCACTTACTTGCAATCCAAGGTTTGACTATAGTTTCAAAAGATTACATAAGCAATAATGAAGATATAACTGAAAACAGTGGTTGTAAAAAATGTGACTAATAAAAGATTTGTGATATTCAATGGATTCTTATTTATAGAATAGATTTGTTTTGGTGACTAGAGTGTACATTACTGTCATTAGGGTTTTGCTTTAATCTCTGATGAGACTAGTCCGCCCTTGAGCAGGGACAATTTAATATTTTTCATACACCCAAAGGCCTTCTCTAAAAAGATGAAAACTGCAAGAGTACAGATTGTAGGACATGAATTTGTTAATAGCATTGTTCATAGCTTTAGGTTGGTTGATTTTTCCTTTTTAAAGATAAAATCCTCCATGTGTTGCCATTGGGTGACAACCACTTCAGTTTACTGGGACAGTCCTGGCTTAGTCATCATCATCCTGAATTTATGCAAATCTATCAGTTATGGTCATACAGCATAGTTTTTGACCACAGAAGCAAAAAATCAATTCCTTATGGTATAAATATTACTTTATGTTCTGTGTATGTGGACTGACAAGCATCAACCATCTCATATGAATTGCAGAGTTATTACTCATATTAACTAAATATATTTACGAAAGGAAAACTTCAGTTCTAAGTTGCGTAAATGGATTTAGGGAAGAAAGTTTGCTCTGTTATTCACTTGAAATATTAATGTTTTAGTCTTCTGCCTAGAAATTTAAGCAATAAAACTGCTTTGGAGTATACATTTTTTGAAATATATTTTATGGTATGCAAAATATTTTAGAGATCTGCTCATAACTAAGTACTTACCACTTTACAGTTTTATTTGAGTGGAGTATAGGTGTCATTGCATTAATTAATCAGCAATGTAAAGATGAAACATTGTGTATATTTTTGATGGCGCTTTTGGAGAAAATAGTGTTTAGAGGTACAGTCTGATATGAAAAATAATTTTCTTCAAATTCCATTTAAAATATTGCTTAGTTTTTACAAAGAACAAAGAAAGAGTGGCTTATTTCAAAACCACTTTCTTTGTCCCTGTTGTTTTCTATTTTACTGAGGCATAATTGCAAATTCAACTTTGATGTGGTGTTTTGTTTATACTTCTTTGACAGGCCTGCCTCATCCTGCTTTCACTGGACAACAAATGAACTTTCTCGAGTTCAACTCCTAAAATGGAAAACTGACCGGAAAGCATTCATAGAAGGAAAAGAAATACTGTTTTCTAGAACATATGACTGGTGGAATGCAGGAAATGTTATCAGTTGTCTTCATACATTACTATTTAGTAATTTTAATGCCTTTTTTCAAATTGTCTATTATGTACATGTGTGTGAGGCTGTTGTTTTAATACTGTCATTCTATAATTAATCTGAGATTATTAGTTCGCAATTTCTTCATATTCATAACTGAGGGATACATTTTAAAAACTTCTTGTAATTGGTATAGAATGTTGTTTAGCTATACCTGTATGCATAATTGTTCAATAAATACTTTTTCTTTAAATTTATTGGTACTTTTTAGGTATACAGTGCAGTTACATTCGTCATTGGGATCTTGTACCTCTACATGATGTATCTTGGTTCTTATTTTTTCCCCATTCGCTGCCCTTCCTTCACCTCCTCCATCATTCCCTATTTACAAAGACTTTGTTTCTGTTTTTCCTTTTCTCTTTTCCCTTCGATACCCGCACTTACCTTTCAAACTTCCCCTACTCCTTTAGACCTTTTCTTCCTATTTCACATTATCAATTATACAATTTAAACCTTATTTGCACTTTTAGTTTTTTAACCAGAGAAGCTATTTGGTGTTTACACATGTGTGTTCTATTTATTTCACTTGAGTATGGCCTCAATGTCCATTCATTTAGCTATAAATGTCTCTAGTTTCTCATTCTTTATGGCTGAGTATTACTCCATTTTAAAACAACAACAACAACAAACAACATACTCTATCCAGTCTCCAGATGATGGGCAATTAGGCTGTTTCCAAGTTTTAGCTATTAGAAACTGTGTCGCTCTAAACATGGCATGCATATGTTTTTGTGGTATGATTCTTTTAATTATTTTGGACAGATGTCCAGCAGAAGGATAGCTGGATCAAATGCAACCTCTAATCCTAGTTCTTTGATGTATCTCCATATTGATTTCCACAGTAGTTGCACCAGTCTTCACTCTCATCAACAGTGGAGAAGTGTTCCTTTCTCCTCACAACACACTAACATTTATTAATGGTTAATTTCTTGAGTTTTTCTTGGTTACTTTCATATGGAGAGATGTTTTGCATCCTTTTATTTTCAGCCAATAAGTTTCTTTTTGAACTAGGTGCATTTCTTGTATACAGCATATTGTTGGGTTTTGCTGCTTAATCCATTCTGCCAGTTTATTTCTTTTGATTGGTGAATTGAGGCCATTGACATGGTGAATTGAGGCCATTGACATGGATGGTTACAACCTATACATGTTCACTTATCATTGTCATGTCATTGTTCTGTTGTTGACCCTTTAAAAAATTTCCCCCCTTGCTTTAATTTCTTGCTTTGCCTCATGAATTTGCTCTGATGGACCTCATAGAGTTTTGACCTTCATTGTCTTTTTCAAGGATATTATTTAGAATTGTTTGGAGTGCAGCTTTAGTATCTGTGAAGTTTCTCAGGTGTTCTTTGTCATGGAAGTATCTTATTTTCCCATCTAATTTGAAAGACAGCTTTGCAGGATACATCAGCCTAGGTTGGAGGCTATTTTCTTATTTATTTATTTATGGCACTGGGGGTTAAACTTGGGACCTTGTGCTCACAAGACAGGTTGGCAGAGGCTCTTTTCTTTTAGAGCATGGAATACTTCACTAAAGTCCCTCCTTTATTAGAGGGTTTGTGTTGAAAAGTCTGCTGTAACTCTGATGAATTTCTATTGCATGTGATTTGTTTCTTTTCTATAACTGCTTGCAGGATTTTGTTCTTCTGTTGGGTTTCTGGAATTTTTATTATCTATCTAGCTATAGTGTTTTTTTCATCTTGGCTAGTTGGAGCCCTATGTGCATCAATTACCTGTGTGTTAAATGCTTTCGCTCTGTTTGGGAAGTTTTCTGTCATTAATTATGTGAACTTTTTTTATGTCATTTGTATTTTCTCCTACTTTTTCATGGACATCTATCAGTCTTATATTATTATTCTTTTCATCTTCTAGGAGCTATTGGATTGATTTCTCATGGTACTTTACTATTTTTAAGAGATCTCTCTTTTCATGGTTCCTGGCTGCCATTCTGTCTTCTATATCTGATATTCTGTCTTCAGATAGAGTTAGTCTGTTGTGTATCATTTCAATAGAGTTTTTTTTAATCTCCTGGATATCTGTTTGAATCTGTTTCATGGATTCTGTTTCTTTCCTATGTTGGGCATTCATGGTTCCCATTTCTTTTCTATGCTGGGCATTTATGGCTCCTATCATGGTCCTGAACTAGTGTTTTTTTAAATCTGTTTCTGTTGTAGGGTCTCTAATCATGTCTTTCATTGTACTCACCATCTCTGTAGTTATCTGGGAAATTATTTCTGTTTTGAATTTCTCTAGAGCCCAATTGATCTGTTTTGTTACTTCCTGAGCTATGAATTCATGGTGTCCTGGTGGTTGATTGTCAGACTTTTTTATCTCCTTTCCCCTATACTTTGCTTTTGGTGAGCTGGAAGTCTGTGTTTGTGCTTGCTTAAATGTTTTCTCACTTCTATTTTTGTTGTTGGTCCTGCACTTGGTGCAATTACTGGATTAATACTTCATTCTTTCAACTATAGCTGGTCTTTAGGTTTTGATTCTCTAATGACTTGGAGACACTCTCATTTTCATAATATGAGGAAGGACAAGTGATTTAATCAATCACAACACCTTAGCCCAAGTGATACCATGAGCAACACAATAGCTTCAAGCACAGCTTAGAAAATGACAATTTGTAGTAATTATTTTTAAAATTAATTTTATTGACACTTTTAATGTATAAAATATAATGACATTCACTGTTGGAAATTTGTACCTTTACATAGTATTGGTTCTTAGTTTTTCATTATTCTCCTGCACTTCCTTCAATTTCTCCTTCCCTTCCTATCTACGAATACTTTGTTTCTATTATATTTCATTTTCCATATTAATTTCATTGCCTTCTTTCCTTTCCCCTACAGTTCCAGTTTCCCCTTCCTCTTTATCCCCTTTCTTCCTTTATCTTATTATCTATTATACCTTTTATTCCTTATTTTCACTTTCCATTTCTCACACTAGAGAAAATGGGTCAGTATTTATGTCCTATTTATGTTCCTTAAGAGTATCATCTCTATGTGCATTCATGTAGCTATAAATGTCTCTAATTTATTTGTTTTTATGGCTGAATAGAATTCCATTTCATTAAAAAAACACATTTTCTTTATCCATTCTCCTGTTGATTGGCAATTGGAATGCTTCCAAGTTTTAGCTATTACAAATTGTGCTGCTATGAACATGGGTACATATATATCACAATGGTTTGATTCTTTTAATTCATCTCTGAAGATATCCATGAGGAGAATAGCTGGGTCAAAAAGGACTTCAAATCCTAATTGTTTGAGGTATCTCCATACTGCTTTCCATAGCCTACACTCCCACCAGCTGTGGAGCAGTATTCCTCCTCCCCCACAGCCCTGCCAGCATTTGTTATTGGTTGATTTCTTGATAGCAGCCATTATTTCTGGGGTTTAATCATGTAAATTACATCAAAGTTGAGTACCAGCACAAAATATTAGTGAATAAACTTTCAATATAGCAACTTTACCATTCAGCACAGGTACTTAGAAGGGACTTGGGAAGAGAACAATAGATAGGTAGAAGTATAGGAGGAGAGTAGAAATGAAGGCAGAAGACACAGAGAGATCACACAAACTTTAGGAAACTGTTGAATACAAGAGAGAAAGACAGAATGAAAAAGCAAAGACAAGAATAGAAAAACCTAATAAAAAACCTAGGGAAGCTAGAAATTGTACTCACTTCCTTCATAAGTAATGACAATTGAGAGAAGAAAAAAGTGAGAAGAGAAAGAAAGAAATAAGAAATCCGAGTTAGGGCAGGAACAGGAACAAAAAGGGAGATGAAGGACAATGTGGGAGAGTAAGAGATTGAGTAGGAAAGAGCAACAAAAGTGAAAAAAAGAAAAGCAAAGGAAGAATTTTAAAGAGTAGGAAAAAATAAAAGTGAAAAATAAGGGGAAAATTAAAATAATAATTTTGAAAATAAAAATTAAGGGCATCCTTCAAGGTATGGCTCTGCTGTCACAATATACAGTGTGGGCAGCAGTGTGCAGATCTAAGTCAATTAGTCTCAGCAAGCCAGTAACAGACCCTTGATATTCAGGCTAATTTTTGGTGGCAAGGCCCAAGACAACCTCCAGCAGGATTAAACTCTTCCAGGTTTTACTGCAGGTTCCAGCTGCCTTTACCCTGAAGATACTCCAGGTTCCAATGGGAGGTGGTGATTCTTCCAACTTACCAACTATGGTGGTCTGGTGTGTCTGTATTGCAGAGATTCTCTTCACTTTTCCAGTGGGCTTCAATTTTCATCAAGGTGCCTGAGAGAGGTGCTCTTTCTGTTCACTACTGTTCTATCTTCTGAAGCTCAGTACAATGGCCTTCATGGCCCCCCTGTGCCTCTGTGCTGTGGATCCAGGTACTGGCACAACCAGCAGGCCCTGGGAGGGTGCTGGGGTGATGTCGTGGGGGCATCTGCGCAGAATCAGGGCATTAAGGGTGCGACAACAGCCTTGCTCCATGGGGCTTCTCACTAGTCTGCTCAATAGAGTTTTTAATCTCCTGAATATGTGTTTGAAACTGTTTCATGTATTCCATTTCTTTCTTATGTTGGGCATTCTTGGCTCTATCATGGTCCTGATCTATCATCTATTTTTCTATCTGATTTTGTTCTAGAGTCTCTAACCATGTCTTTTATTTTTCTACCAACTATTATTGATTATTAGTATGAATTTCTTAAGAAAATTTCTTTGGAAATAAAAAAATACAAGATGAAAATTTAATAGTTAGCTTAGGATTTTGTGTTTTTCTTGTATTACTTGGTAAAACAAATGACATTTGCTGAGAAAAAAATGGAGTAATCAGAAGGTCTATGGAAGGATAAGGAATGATTTTAACATAACAAAATGGACTTTGATACTG